TATATATATATATAAAATGGGTTGAGTTTAGATGGACGGGCAGTTTCATCTACTTAAAATTAACCCTACAACATAATGTGTACAAAAAGTGAAGGGGTCTGACTATTTTCTGAGGAGTTTGTAAATATACTTTATTTGCACTGTGCTTATTATATTCAGATCCAGGCACAGGAGATTCAGGAATAGCTACAGGACATCTCTCTAAAACCAGGAGTTTGTGTCCTCTCTCCTTGCCAGTGGCACAGGGTCCCAAGAATGGTCATGCTCTATTTATAGACTGAATTCATACCTGAGTCACACTGGCCCGGTCAAATATATAACAACCTTCTTCATCCTGTTACAGTATAACTGATATACACAGCATGCACGGTACTGAGGTGGCATGTACAGTATCAGAGCAAAGTTAACTTTTCTGTTTAAATGTTAGTTACAGTGCCTTGCGAAAGTATTCGACCCCCTTGAATTTTGCGACCTTTTGCCACATTTCAGGCTTCAAACATAAAGATATAAAACTGTAATTTTTTGTGAAGAATCAACAACAAGTGGGACACAATCATGAAGTGGAACAAAATTTATTGGATATTTCAAACTTTTTTAACAAATAAAAAACTGAAAAATTGGGCGTGCAAAATTATTCAGCCCCTTTACTTTCAGTGCAGCAAACTCACTCCAGAAGTTCAGTGAGGATCTCTGAATGATCCAATGTTGACCTAAATGACAAAGGATGATAAATAGAATCCACCTGTGTGTAATCAAGTCTCCATATAAATGCACCTGCACTGTGATAGTCTCAGAGGTCCGTTTAAAGCGCAGAGAGCATCATGAAGAACAAGGAACACACCAGGCAGGTCCAAGATACTGTTGTGGAGAAGTTTAAAGCCGGATTTGGATACAAAAAGATTTCCCAAGCTTTAAACATCCCAAGGAGCACTGTGCAAGCGATAATATTGAAATGGAAGGAGTATCAGACCACTGCAAATCTACCAAGACCTGACCGTCCCTCTAAACTTTCAGCTCATACAAGGAGAAGACTAATCAGAGATGCAGCCAAGAGGCCCATGATCACTCGGGATTAACTGCAGAGATCTACAGCTGAGGTCGGAGACTCTGTCCATAGGACAACAATCAGTCGTATACTGCACAAAGCTGGCCTTTATGGAAGAGTGGCAAGAAGAAAGCCATTTCTTAAAGATATCCATAAAAAGTGTCGTTTAAAGTTTGCCACAAGCCACCTGGGAGACACACCAAACATGTGGAAGAAGGTGCTCTGGTCAGATGAAACCAAAATCAAACTTTTTGGCAACAATGCAAAACGTTATGTTTGGCGTAAAAGCAACACAGCTCATCACCCTGAACACACCATCCCCACTGTCAAACATGGTGGTGGCAGCATCATGATTTGGGCCTGCTTTTCTTCAGCAGGGACAGGGAAGATGGTCAAAATTGATGGGAAGATGGATGGAGCCAAATACAGGACCATTCTGGAAGGAAACCTGATGGAGTCTGCAAAAGACCTGAGACTGGGACGGAGATTTGTCTTCCAACAAGACAATGATCCAAAACATAAAGCAAAATCTACAATGGAATGGTTCACAAATAAACATATCCAGGTGTTAGAATGGCCAAGTCAAAGTCCAGACCTGAATCCAATCGAGAATCTGTGGAAAGAACTGAAAACTGCTGTTCACAAACGCTCTCCATCCAACCTCACTGAGCTCGAGCTGTTTTGCAAGGAGGAATGGGCAAAAATTTCAGTCTCTCGATGTGCAAAACTGATAGAGACATACCCCAAGCGACTTACAGCTGTAATCGCAGCAAAAGGTGGCGCTACAAAGTATTAACTTAAGGGGGCTGAATAATTTTGCACGCCCAATTTTTCAGTTTTTTATTTGTTAAAAAAGTTTGAAATATCCAATAAATTTCATTCCACTTCATGATTGTGTCCCACTTGTTGTTGATTCTTCACAAAAAATTACAGTTTTATATCTTTATGTTTGAAGCCTGAAATGTGGCAAAAGGTCGCAAAGTTCAAGGGGGCCGAATACTTTCGCAAGGCACTGTAAATAAGAAGAAAGCCATTTCTTAAAGATATCCATAAAAAGTGTCGTTTAAAGTTTGCCACAAGCCACCTGGGAGACACACCAAACATGTGGAAGAAGGTGCTCTGGTCAGATGAAACCAAAATCGAACTTTTTGGCAACAATGCAAAATGTTATGTTTGGCGTAAAAGCAACACAGCTCATCACCCTGAACACACCATCCCCACTGTCAAACATGGTGGTGGCAGCATCATGGTTTGGGCCTGCTTTTCTTTAGCAGGGACAGGGAAGATGGTTAAACTTGATGGGAAGATGGATGGAGCCAAATACAGGACCATTCTGGAAGGAAACCTGATGGAGTCTGCAAAAGACCTGAGACTGGGACGGAGATTTGTCTTCCAACAAGACAATGATCCAAAACATAAAGCAAAATCTACAATGGAATGGTTCAAAACTAAACATATCCAGGTGTTAGAATGGCCAAGTCAAAGTCCAGACCTGAATCCAATCGAGAATCTGTGGAAAGAACTGAAAACTGCTGTTCACAAATGCTCTCCATCCAACCTCACTGAGCTCGAGCTGTTTTGCAAGGAGGAATGGGCAAAATTTAAGTCTCTTGATGTGCAAAACTGATAGAGACATACCCCAAGTGACTTACAGCTGTAATCGCAGCAAAAGGTGGTGCTACAAAGTATTAACTTAAGGGGGCTGAATAATTTTGCACGGCCAATTTTTCAGTTTTTTATTTGTTAAAAAAGTTTGAAATATCCAATAAATTTCGTTCCACTTCATGATTGTGTCCCACTTGTTGTTGATTCTTCACAAAAAAATTACAGTTTTATATCTTTATGTTTGAAGCCTGAAATGTGGCAAAAGGTCGCAAAGTTCAAGGGGGCCGAATACTTTCGCAAGGCACTGTACATTGACTGATGCTACTCAACACTGTTTGAGCTGACTGCACTGCAAACAAATGGAGCAACTGATAAACCCACATGCTGTTTGTTGTTGGCGCCAAAAAAGGATTTATTGTACAAATTTGAGCTTAAAACATACAATGCAGTGTGACAGATTTATAGCACCAGTAGCAGTATCATACACCACCAGGTTGTAGCCATCAGTGAAGGGACAGCCTCTCCACAGGAAACAGTAACAAAATCATATCAATTAAAATGCCTTATTGATTGAATTTGTGGCACACCACACAAGAGCTGAAACGATTTGTCAATTAATTAGTCAATCAACAGAATAATAATCAGCAAATATTTTGATAACAGATCTGTCATTTCAAATGTTTTTCCAAGCAGAATAGTACCACTTCTCAAAGGAGAGGCTTTGCTGCTTTTCAGCGTAAACTAAATATATTTTTTATTTTGAACTTTTGTATGAATAACACAAAAACTGTGAAGATGTCGTCTTGAGCTGTAGGAAGTTTGGATGGGTGTTCTTCATTATTTTATGACATTATGTGATCAATTTATTAGTCAATAATATAACCAGCAGATTAACTGATAGTGAAAATAATCATCAGATGCTGCTTCACTTAAAATATACTAAATATTTCATTAAAGCAGTGAAACATTTACAGCACAAGCAGATTCACACATCACTGGGTTGTTATTATATCTGAGGGAACAGTACCAAAAGAATCATACAAATGACGATGCTTTGTTTCGTGTGGTGTTCGTGGCATACTGCACTGAACATAAAGCAACTAGTCGATCAATCCATAAATCAGTTGACAGAATAATAGCAACTGTTTTGATAACTTTTCAGACAAATAGTTTCATCTAACAATTGAAATTTCATTGTAAAAACTTTATCTTTAAGTTAAATATAACTCTTGTTTGAACAAAACCGGAAATGTGAAAGTGAGGTTTCACTGAGTTAACTATTTTAAGACATTTCATATATCGTATAATAAAACAGAAAAAAAATCAGTTGATTTACTGATAATGAAAATGTCGCTAGTTGCAGTCTAATGCTTTACTGATCAAGGGTGATAACCCTGCGACACAACCACTGCAAAACCACACTCTGACTTCTATTAACCTCTTATCTTGCAATATAAACACATGCCATCCTCCTGGCGTGATTCCTGACATGTTATCCTTATATAACTTTTCATCCACCTCCCGATTATTCCCACTGGAGGTAACTTAGTGACGCCACATTTTCAGTGTTTCCACACAGCCTACAACATGAATTAGTAACGTAACACGACAAAACGTCCACCTAGTCGACTAAAAGAACAACTGGCAAATAATGTAGTTATTTTAAACATCAGCTAACGTCAGATAATGAAGTTAGCCAGCTAAAGGTAGCTAGCATTAATTAGCTAACAACATTAGCACTCAGTGACAGCTACTCCTTCACTTTACTATTAAAGGTACTTACCACTCAGTGCGAAGAGAAATATAACAATCTGATCGCAAACCATTGGCCTTTGTAAAAAGAAAAAAAATATCGTATGTCGGTGTTTTTTCAAGAACAAATAACTGTAACTGTCATAGGGTAAATATAGTTCAACCAGCTAGCTAACAGCTGCTGTTGTTCGTCTTCTTCCTCTTTTAAATTGCGGTTGGCACTTAATGTTCCAGTCCAGTAGCGCCCCCTGCAAAAACCCGGGAACAGTAACTACCTCGGGAATTCCGCATCTTTACTCGTGAGGCCATTTAGTAACAAGCTCTTCACAGTGGACACAACCCTTTTAGACATGTCATGGTGTTCAAATTACAAACGAACAAAAGCTGGAATTTATTTGATTGTTTTTATTTTAATAATGAATTAAGAGAAACAAACCTTTGATACAGCTTGATCTTTTAAAACAGCTTACAAAATTATTTCATCTTTCTTATTCTATATAAACAACTTACACTGGTCAGGTGAAGTCACTGTATCTGTTAGCAATGTGTCTTAGCAGTTCTTTAACTGATGTGAGACTAAATGTTGCTCCTGGCAATAGAAGAAACACTCCAATGTGTTGTTCCTCAGCCTGATCCTTCGACTGTCAGCTTGGTGGAAGGACAACTGTGCTTTAAGGAATGGCAAATCAAATTTGTGGAGACAATGTCAGTTTTATTTCATTGAGACAGCACCATTTTTTTTTATCAATATGACTACTGACACCCATTAAGCCACCTTGCGTACCACCTGTGTGTCTACAAAGTCGGTGTCCCATTCGCCATCAGACAAACTTCAGCATTTTTCTCTTGCAGGTTATTACTTTTAACCTTGCTAACATGATCAAGACCACAACCAAGCAGGGCTTCAGAAAAACAAGAACACTACTCATCCTGTTTTTAGAAAGTAATTTCTCCACTGAACCAAGGTTATTTTTATTCATGTGTAACTCCAGCCTAATCTCTACCTCTGCCAAATATGGTTGACTGACAGCAAAAAATAAATGTTATCTGTTTACACAGCAAACTGTAAAAACTAATCTAGAAATGGAGATTTTTCTGAGCCATGTTTAGACCAAAGTTAAACTAGACATAATAGTGTTGGTTTTGCTCAAATTAGGTTCTGACTTACCCAAACATCACCCAACTTGAACGAGGAAAATTTCTGATTTAACAGAGAAGAGCAACTACATGGCCTCTCACTATATAAGGTAAACCAACATTAGGCTGAAAAAGGCATAAATAAGGCCTGAGTTTTTCATCACTCCTTAAAGCATTAGTTTAGTTGATTCACCAAACTGTGACCTCCACCACCGTGAGCTGAAACAAACAACACAGAAAGCTGCACATCTGCCAGTTGTTGCAACAGGTTGAAGTCAAAAAACAGCAAAGATCTGAATCAGAAATCTAAGTGTGAAAAAAAAGCTTTCATTCTGCATAAAAGTTCCCCCAATTAAAGACTATACAAACATATTGTACATTTTAACAAGTTAGATTACAGCGCAGGTTTTCTTTTGTACAAGTCCATACGCACATTTTCCTTTCAGCTCTTAAGGTCTGTACATCTTGGTTACAAAAAATACATGCCATTTTGAAGTATCTATGAACATAGAAACAATAAATGATCCATTTAAGGTAATTAAGCTATTTAACAACAGAGCCTAGCTGTAGTAACTAAATCAAGGTTCTGTAATGTGCAGCAGAGACGCAAGTTTCCTTTGCCAAAAAACAACAACAAAAAAAAAAGTGATCTGGACTCAAATCAAAATGCAGACATCTGTGCTCCTTGTGCCAAACTAAAACAGGAGCAAAAAGATTAGATCTAATCAAAGAATGTGACAATACTGAAATACATAAAAGAAAGGATGTATTTATGTGTACACACAAGTGAGAGGTGCTCAGTGGCGTCTCATTTTGACTTTGCGTCCTGAACTTTCCCAGTGTTTGTCGTAGTCTTGCCCGCGCCTCCAGTAGTTCTCGGAGCTGATGCTGTGACGATGGTGATGGGAAAATGAAGGATGTCTGTTCTCCTCTTTATCCATCTCTAGGACCCTCAGCCTAGTGGAGGGGGAGGAGAGAGAGAGAGAGAGATAAAGTCATATCCTGATCATCTCTTAGCAGTTCATCGATTATACTGTTATTTACATAACACCTATTAAAAGATAAATTAAAAACTGGTAAAGTAACAGCCTTTTGTTAATAAATAATAAATAGATCAATTGTCCCGGAGGGAATCTGACTGCCTGAGGGTAAAAACTCTTCGTTTGTTCGGGTCTTGATGCTTCTGTATTGCCTTCCTAACGGCAATAGAGAAAACAGATGATGAGATGGATGGTAGAGATCCTTGATGATATTCAGTGCTTTGTTAATACAGTGCTATGAATAAGATTCCATCAAAGCTGGAAGAGGAAGACAATAATTCTTTCTGCTGTTCTCAGAATCCATACTGTCAGCTGCTCCACCTCTTTTCTGTATCTTGCTCCATCCCCTTCACTGATGAGACCCACCACTGTGATCATCATCAGTGAACTTAACAATGTGATTTGAACTATAAGTGGCGGTGCAATCGTGTGTAAGCAGGGTGAACAGCAGAGGATTTAGAACGCAGCCCTGTTGGGAGCCAGTGCTGATTGCTATGAGTTTAGATACTTCTGACCGTTTGCCATCTATGTCATTGACCATTCAAACCAAAAACAGGCTTATGATGAAAAAAAAAAACGGGCTGCATTCATCGGGGTGTATTGTTTCAGGCCCCAGTAGGAGGATAAAATGCGAGTCAGGAAGTACTACTGGAGTAATACATGCACGAGTGTGAAGGTTTGTCAGATACAGGAACACTGCACCGATTGTGTTAAGAGGAAATATTTTGGAATGAATGATAACATGGCACCAATCACTTTATCTCTCGCCACAACAACTGTGAGGTAAAGAGGAGAATACACATGTGACACAGCTGCATGTGACAAAGATGCATTTTTGTGAGGTAAAGAGAATACATATGTGGCACAGCTGCATGTGACAAAGATGCATTTTTCACCAAATCCTTCTGTGGTGGTATCCTCGCTGCCGTTTTTCATGCATTGTCAGAATGAGGACTAATACCTGACTGAAAGTGGATTCAACCAGACTGGACTTGTGATGTGTCATAATCAATGTGACATACAAGTATTTTCTGAGGTGAACTGGAGAGTGTGAATTGTAAAGTGCACAGAAAAAAATCATGCATCTCCTCTGACTATAAAGCGTTTGGGAATGACATTGAATTAATATGGCTTTAATTTGAGCTTTGGGTAAAGCTAGTGTTTTGGGTCACATTAGCAGTAACCAGAGTGTTCTACTGAATTGCTAAATTCACTCTTTAGTCAGCTAAGGCTAGTTTCAGACTGGAAGATGCATTTTGAGCAGTTGGTGCAACCAGGCATCCATAGTGGTACTCACTGCTAGTAAACAGGACATGATGGGAGGAGCAAGGAGCGGTTAGGAGCAGTTTATAGTGTCAGTTTGTTTCAAGTCTCACTAAACCCTCTAGGCTGAAAAGAAACAAGGTAAAATAGTGTTAAATTAATTTATGCAAGTGTGGCAGGTTTTCCACGGGTCTGTTTTTACAGGACGCGTGAAAACCACTGGTGCATCTGTATGTGGAGGTGTTTACCTGTGAGCAGCATCAGGCTCTGCTTTGCGATGAGAACGTTTGGCTTTCAGAGGAGCGGGTCTCTCTGCAGGAGAGGAGCTTAAAGGGCTGCCAGAGTCCAGTCGAGGAGCATCAGGTCTGGTCCTGGCAACGAGAGGAGGAAGCACATGTACAAACACATGGGTCAGATTGAGCATATATATATATATACACAGTATAAGGTAATTACCTTCGAAATTATAGTATGGTGACTCACTGCCTGAGGATGATAACTGCACGTCGCTCCTTGATGTCCTGGGGCCGGATGCAATGGGTGATGTCATCTGCAGCATAGCCACTGAAACAGAAAGAAAAAGCTTTCAGTGACAACTTCAGGTCTGAACAGCTAGGCAAAAACAGTAACTGAATTAGTGACAGCAAACACAGCCATAATAACCTGAGTACTGTGACGCTGCCTCTCCTCACAGGTAGGACAAACACCGGCTCTGACACCCGGATCGGTTTGAACTGGAAACGGCAGCCAAAACAGAGCGCGCTGTCACTGAAGAAGGACACTGAGACAATGGGCCGAGCAAAGATGTGCAGGGGATCTACATGTGACACAATACAGCCCCCAGGTTGATAATCATTGATGACCGCACTGTTGACAAACCCTTCTGGGATCACTCCATGGGCCACCAGACGATTTATCACCAGCTCATGCACCCAGCTAGGGATATCATCCACCTCTCCTTTACGGTATAGCCGCTCCTGGCCCGGTCCACGCTTCTCCAGCTGGGCTCCATACGTGTACCCCTCCCCGAAAAAGTACTTGTTGCGGAGGGGAGCCCTGTCCACAGTGTGCTCACGATAAAGTCCAGCTTCTGCTTTGGCAACCACCTCGTCGATCTTCTTTTCGATGAGGGCGCACTCCTCGGGTGTGAAGATGCTCTCCTGCTGGATGCTGCTCTTCACACGATGGGCCTCCAGCTCCCGGAGCTCCGCACTGTCATCACTGTGCTCGTATTCAGCGTCTTCAGACTCCCGGTACTTGCGCTTTCGACCTTTCCTGCTACCGTTACTCGTACTGTGCACGTATTTATTTTTGTACTCGTCTCTGTGTGGAGTCATGGATTTGAGCTTCTCTCTCAGGTCAGAGTATCCACTGGCTGCCATGTCAGCCATAACAGTGTACTAGTGTTAAGATATTGTGACGAATGAACTCCTAGCTAAAATACAATGTGCATCAGCGCTGTACTTCAGCACCAGGTTTTGACGGGGGTTTGGTTGATATGAACTGAATGTCTGACTAGAGTCTTTCGCTAGCTTCAGGGAGCTCTGACTCTAAATCACAGCGCTATAAAGCAGCATAGTAGCTAACAGTAGCTAACAATAGCCAAGTTGTTCCGTCACCCTGTCTGTACATGAAACAGTCCTGTTGTGTGACACTTGGAAATTGTAGATGATATTATCGGGTAATTACAAACAAATAAAGCTGCAAGAAACGCTGCGTCTACACTACATCACAATCCGACAGCGGCGAAGCTAGCCGAGCTGCTAGTTAGCTAAACTAGCCTGGCTTGATCTGTCCGTCATCGCCTGGAAATACCGACAAACCACGCAGCAACATTTCACATGTCACCACTAAATTCCAAACCTCGGTGCTCCGGAGACGTTTCCACTCAGATTTTAACTCGAAAAGTCCATGAAAACAATTGTTGTATCGGCACAAGGCTTGACCACTGTTAGCTTACACTGTCTTGAACCGACTCCTAGAAATTTACTGGAAATAAACTCGTGTAAACTGAGAGTGATCTGCGCATGCTCAGTGGTGACCTACCACTTAGGGGCTGGGCTACCACGTGTCCTGAACGTCCATAGGAGGACACATAAATCCGTTCAGGGGCCCCAGGGGGGCATCTCAAACTACTGCTAATTTTGTCCCACTATCCTCTTATCTACCTCATAAAGTTCACACTTCATTTAATTTAATTGGTTATTATTTTTATAATATGACGACTGATCTGATTATTTTGACACCCTTCTAATAATAATGCTTTATGTACAACCCCAATTCCAAATAAACAAGGACAATGTAAGATGTAAATAAATAAATAAAATTATCACGGTACCTACATACACATATTTAGATTTAGAACTCAGACAATTAGTCAGCTAATAAAGGAGTAGCAACATATCTGTGCAGATTCTCAGTCATCCAGGTCATAGTAAACCACAACCGAAATAACCTTGGAAATCAACTGGACTT